CACGCACGCACGCACGCACGCACGCACGCACGCACGCACGCACGCACGCACCCCTCTGGGCAGGGCACTTCGAATCAATCATCAATCAAGAAAATTTACCAAAGGCTTGCTGATAATGGACGCATTTTCTCAATTAAAGTCCTCTTCCCAGACAGTTCTAGCTTGTGTCAGGTTGGCGGAAGCCTAAGCAGCACAACCCACTCTCAGAAGACTCAGTCCCTCCATGCGTGTTGCTGGCCGTCAGGACATTTTCCCTCCAACTTGTTGTTTTTATATCCCCTCTGCTTCCCTTCCTAAGAGAACAGAACCCTTTTTTTCCTTTAAGAATCATTTCCGGCCAGGCAGTGGTGGTGCACACCTTTAATCCCAGCTCTCGGGAGGCAGAGGGAGGCCTGTTGCACTGTGTGGTGGAGGCTGGAAGACCAGGAGTCAAGGCTATCAGCTCTATATCAAGTTCAAGGCCAGCTTGGGTGACATGAGACCCCCATCTCAGCAAACAAAAAGAAAATTCTTCTAATTAAATAGAATGCAAAAGTTTATTTCTGGACTCTGATTTCTGTGCCATTGAGCATAGCATTGCTAGAACCGTACTACCTGATTCACATGACTCTGTAGTAAGTCTTTGAAACAAGAATCAGTGAAGACGGTTATGTTATGACCAGCACCAATGACAGTGCCGCCTGTATCCCAGGTGACCTGGAGCTTCGGATGTGGTCTTCTCTGGCCTCTGCCACCCTAGTCCTGGGATTATAGATGAGCGCTGCCACGCACGGTTCGTGCAGCTCCGAGGGTTGAACCTATGGCTTTGTGCATGCTGAGGAGACACTCTACCAGCCGGCCTACATCTTTCCAAATTCATTTCATTCTGCCTTTATATAAAAATATTAGGCAGGAACTGTTGCACGCTGCAGCTTCCCGAGGCGGAAAGGGGACGCTGCTCTGTAATTAGCAATACTGGGTGTGCTGTTACCAACAAGGCAAAACTCGGGTTGAGAAGCCGTGTGTTCTGAGATACAGTGGATCTGTAATACCCAACTTGTGAGCGGCAGAGAGAGGCAAGAGGATTGGGAGTTCAAGGTCTTTCTCGATTCCATGGAGGGTTAGAAGCCAACCTAGATGACACACGACCTTGTCTCAAAAAGAGCAAGGAAATTACGTCTTTAATTTCTGTGACCTGAGGTGAATTTTAGCAGCTCCTCATGGGGAACCAGCAAGTTCTCATTGACTCTGTGCAGTGGGCCCCAGAGTCTGGCACCTTGACCAGCAGTCTGAACTTTGAATTTTCTAGAAATCCAAACTCTGGATCCCGCCCCATGCCACAGGATCAGCATCTCTGCCTGTGTCCCGTCAGCCTGTGTTAGCAAGCCTTCCAGTGATGCTGATGCATGCTGATGTGTGGGAGCTGTTACCTGAATGCCTGGATGGGTGCCTTCCAGGGTGAGAGTGGAGAAGAGGTCACATGATTTCCAGAGACTGGACATTCAGGGACAGAGGACAGGAGACTGGTCTTAAATCTATGTCTGTGGCGATTGTATAGATGGAGTGGCATAGGTAAGCAGTGTCTATAACCCTTCCATAGTACTAAAATCTCTGTCAGCCTGCCAACTACTCTGGGCAGCTCTGAACATGCGCAGTGTGCTCAGCGTGACCAAGAAATCGAAACATTATTGAATTGTAAGGAGCTTCAATGTAAGTCCCACATTTGGCTGGTGCTGGCCACATACCAGCGCAGCCTTGGCACCTGCTCCTCAAGGAGCCCACTCTTGTGTTAGGAGAGACAGATTGCAAGGCAGGGCCTGTAGTGCCCCCAGGAAGCCACTTTCGGGGGCCACTCCCCAGGAGGCATATAATTTCCAAAGTGTCTTAAAGCAGGAAGAATAAAAGGAGGCCCACCCAAACACTGGTGCAAGATTTTCAAGTTATTGTTATATCCAGTTACTGAAAATATACAGCAGATGCCAAATTATAGCTGTAATTTTAGGGAGAGAGCCGGTGACTGCATAAACCACAAAAGTCAGGGTTCAAATTTAACTTACGCCAGGTGACAGCACAGGGCTTGTGCTGGACCGGGGTGACCCCATTCAGGATCCAGCCAGAGCAGGAAGGTGGCGAGAGGGAGGCCCTGGGGAAGAAAAGACCCGACGCTCACCCAGGGGCCCTGTCAGCTAAGATTTATTTTTAGCTTTGTAAGTTAGAAGCATTTTTTTCTGAGCTATTTTTATCCTAGAGAGTTTCACCATCTTAAATTCGCAAATGTATTTCATGCTGTTGCACCGAGAAAAGTGTCTCAGCATCATATTTCCAAAACCAAAAGCCAAACTAGTTAGTTTCCGGGGGTTCCCAGTGAGAAAGGCAGCTGGGCTTCCTGCCTCACCCTGTCATGTATGACCTCATTTCCACTTCCTGTTCCTTCTGCATAACCATTTTATTGACAAAAATAAGTACAGGTAAGCAGGAAAACCAGGGTGGATCTGTGGCACCCTCCATGTGCTAAGACACATATGCACACCCCAGAGCGGAGCCTAACGTGGGCTCTGTGGGTGACCTGTAACAAGAAAAGTAACAAAGCCCCCACTGTAAACAGTGACCTCTGTGTGGATGCATGTCAGAAGTGGGCAGACATGCAGGTCAGATGGTTCCATACCTTCCTTCACTTCAATTTTCCTGTGCACCTGAAAGTGCTCTTCGAATAGGATGTTTTCAAGATGGGTGGAAGGTCGTCAGTTGGCCCATCAGCTAGGGGCACCTGCCCTTTAGACTTAACGCACCACCTGTAACTTTGGAACTGGACAACTCTCTATACATCTGCCCCTAGCATATCACTGACCATGCTGGGAGATGGGTTCTAGGCCCCACCACACCCTTGGGGGTACCAAATCTCTACAAGTTTAAGCCCCTATGTACAGTGGTTAGTATTTACATGTAGCCTACATACACACTCCCATAAACTCTAACTCATCTAAGTTATTGGTAGCACCTAGCATAGAGTAAAGGCTATATGAGTAGTTATACCTAAGAAATCATGGCAGCGTAAAAAGTGTGTATGTTCAGTACAAGCAGTTTGTTCAAGTGTTTCACAGAGTGCTTGGCTGAATTAATGGATATGGAGTCCATGAATACAAAGGACTAACTACATACCACTTTTAAACATTTATTATTATTATTATTATTATTATTTTGTTTTGTTTTTCGAGGCAAGGTTTCTCTGTTTAACAGCTCTGACTGTCCTGGAACTCATTTTGTAGACCAGGCTGGCCACAAACTCACAGAGATTCATCTACCTCTGCCTCCCCAGTGCTGGGATCAAAGGTGTGCTCCACCACCACCTGACAATATTATTAAATTTTTGTAGGACATTAAAAATGCGAGGTATGCACTGCACCTCCAAAACACCCCCAAGCTTGAATAGCATTAATTAGTCATCTACATCATCATTTGTTGATGGTTATAATCTACTTAACTAACCTCCCCCCTTGGTAGATTCTTGGGTCATTATTTGCTATTGATAACTCTGACTATCCTGTTACTCTCCTGTCTTCTTAAGAGAAACTTCTAGAAGTCAGTGGATACAAAGAGAAGGCGTATGACTGAGGCTTCTGATATATGTATCAGATTACCCACCGTCTACGAAGGTTGAGTTAGTTTATTTTTCCCCACACTTACTTTTCCTTGTTTTTGTTTCATTTGGTGTTTCAAGACAGGATCTTACTCTGTTAGCCTGGGCAGGCCTGAGTTTGTGGCAACCCTCCTGCCTCAGCTTCCCAAGCTTGTGGGCAGCTTTCTGACCTCGAAAATCCCTCCAACCTGCAGCTTCCTCTTCCCTTCCCTTTTCAGCTCGGTTTCCAGCGCAGGGCTCCCACTCTGGGCTCCAGCAGGTACAGATGGATGTATATATCATGGCTCCACACATGCTGCTTCCAGGCTTGGAAGCAGAGCAGTCCCTGTCTGCTCAGGTGACAGTGCTCTCTGGGGGCCACCTTCTTATGTGCATTTTTGTTTTCTTTTTCAGAGTGAACTAGATGTATCCTTTTTCAGAACATTTTTCCATGGTATGTGGCAAAGCCGCTCGCTCTAGGTGTAGTCAGGTAAGTGCCATCGCACAGGAAGGTGATTTGGCAGAATCCAGGACGCCACTCACCTGTGACCCTGCCGAGGCAGTCCCACAGCAGGTCATTCCCTGGCACCCCTCCCAACCCTCCCCTTTCAGAGACAATGCTTTGTACGATCCCTTTTTCCTTTTCTCCAAACAAAGTCATGAGGTGGCGGTATTCAAAAATAGCTATTACATGGGGCTGGAGAGCTGGCTCAGCGGCTAGGAGCACTGACTGCTCTTCCAGAGGACCCAGGTTCAATTCCCAGCACCCACATGCAGCTCACAACTGTCTGTAACTCCAAGATCTAACACCCTCACACCGCCATACGCGTAGGCAAAACATCAATGCACATAAAAGAAAAATAAATTATATGTTTAAAAGCATAACTATTATATATTGGTTTAGCTTACCCATATCAGATAGGTTTGTTCAAAATGTGTGTCCCACAGGAAAAGTACTTTTCTCAGGGAGTCTGAATTTCAGGGTAAATCCCCAGAATCCCCTCATGAATGGAACATGGCATTCTGGGGGATGGCCTGGAGGGTTAAAGTCATTACCTGGCTTATGTTTATTTCTTTTTATAGCAGAAAAAGTTCTTTTTTCTCTCTCTTAAATCAAAACTGTCTCTGGGACATGACTCAGTCCCAGCACCTAACCACAAAACAAGCTTGCCCAGGAACCCAGATGTGGGCAGGCACTCACCAGGCTTGTTACAAGTCTCTACAAGTATAGTATGCTGACTTCTTCTTTTTTCTTTTCTTTTCTTTCTTTCTTTTTTTGTTTTGTTTTGTTTTTCAAGACAGGGTTTCTCTGTGTACCTTTGGAGCCTATCCTGGATCTCGCTCTGTAGACCAGGCTGGCCTTGAACTCACAGAGATCCACCTGGCTTTGCCTCCCGAGTGCTGGGATTAAAGGCGTGCACCACCACTGCCAGGCTAATATGTTGACTTCTAAGATTATTTTTCTCCAAAAACCTGCCCGCCTTTGGGCTAGAGAAATGGCTCTGTGGTTTGGAGTACTTATTGCTCCTGAGAGAACCTGAGTTTGGGTCTGAGCCCCCACGCCAGGCGGCTCCCAGCTGCCTGTCACCGCAGTTCCAAGGGTCCCGATGCCCTCTTCTGGACTCCTCAGCCACCAAGCACATGCAGTGCACACAAATGCACATGAACAGGCTGGACACGGTGGTGGCACACGCCTTTAATCCCAGCACTCAAGAGGCAGAGACAGGCAGATCTCTGTGAGTTCGAGGCCAGCTTGGTCTACAGAGCGAGTTCCAGGCCAGGCAGTGCTACATGGTGAGGCACTGAAAAACAAAAATATAAAAAAATAAATAAACCCACTCACGCACATACACCCAAAGTAAAATAAAAAATAAATATGTTATTAAAAAAATCTGCCTATCACTTGAAACTGATAAAGACGTCCTTTGAAAACATATTAGGCTTAACTCTAAAATAATTACAATTGTTTATTTATGTATAATATTAGCAGGTAACAGATCTATGAGTTACAACATGTTTGTGTGTGTGTGTTTATGTGCAGTATGTACTGCTGGGATACCACTGCTCAGAATCGGTATGTGTTTGCGTCAGCACACTCTTCTGGAGCTATAGACATTTACTCTTGTGGGAACAACTGGTCATAGTCACATCTGAGGAAAGGTGGTCGCCCTCTAGTGGCAAGTGACCTAAATCTCTGATCCTAAGAGATCGAAGACCAGACAGTGTGTGTGACTTTTTTTTTTTTTTTAAGATTTATGCATTTATTATGTATACAGCATGTATAGTCAGAAGAGGGCACCAGATCTCATTACAGATGGTTGTGAGCCACCATGTGGTTGCTGGGAACTGAACTCAGGACCTCTGGAAGAGCAGCCAGTGCTCTTAACCTCTGAGCCATCTCTGCAGCCTGACATTTTTTTTTAATATTTATTTTATGTGTGGAGGTGTTCTACATCATGTTTGCCCGTGCCTGGTGCCCTTAGAGGCCAGAAGAAGGGGTCAGGTCCCCTGATCTAGAGTTGCAGGTGGTTGTGATCCGCCAGGTGGGTGCTGGGAATCGAACCCAGATCTACAGGAAGAGCAGCAGTGCTCCTAACCACAGAGCCATCTCTCCAGCCCCGTGACATTCTATCTTAATTAAGCCATTGAAAGCAATTCAAAATAAATCTGTTTTTAATTGGACAGGGGAGTTAATAAAAAAGCTTTTAAAAAATATTTTAAAAGTCATGAGAATGGCAAGAGCTAGCAGATGCCGCTGGAGTTAAAAACTCAAGATCCACCTCTGGCCTTGCCACTAACTGCGGGTTGTATTGAGCAGACACATTTAATTCGGAGGAATAATTAGGCTAGAGGATCTTTCACGCCCTCTCAGCCTAGACTGGGATCTTGCCATGGTTCCAGGTGACAGAACTGAGTGACCTGACACCTAGTGTAGGGCTTCTTCCACGTCCGGCTGTCCAAGGGTGGCCGTAAAGCGGTAGGGTGTGTATTGGAGTCACACTGGTGTGTTGGAGTGGCTCACGCTAACTAGCGTTTAGTGGAAAGATGGGCAGGCATCTTCTCTCTGTAGACTCCTGGAATGATCGGCTTTCCAGTTGCAACTTATTTTCCATACCAAGACCCACAATTTGTGGTTTTTCTCCTCCTTTGCCTTTGTGTTGTTGCTGTGTTTGTTTGTTTGCTTGTTTGTTTGTTTGTTCATTTGTTGAGACAGGGTCTCTCTATGTAGCCCTGGCTGATCTCAAACCTGCTATGACCTGGAACTCACAGAGATGCACCTGCCTCTGCCTCCAAGTGCTGGGATTAAAGGTGTGCGCCACACCTGGCCCACCTGCTTTCATTTCACCTTTCTTTCCTACACTGTCTGTTTCAGTCCAGTGGAACTTCTCTTAAAATGTTACTATCACTGGAACCATCCGAAAAACAGCGAATTCAAAACTCACAACGCACTCACCTCACACATGGCTCTCTTCAGCCATCTGCCCCAGAGGACCTGTACAGAGACTCCTGTAGCAGGGAATCGGCAGTCCATGGAGGCTGCACCCTAGTTCCTGCCTTCCGTGGGGAGGGCGACATTGTCCAGCCCGCTCTTCAGTGCCGCAGAGGCTGCCAGAGCAGCGACTGCTTCCGGGCATGCGCCCTAGAGCCGCCAGGTTGAAACAGGCGCTTGTCACACTTGCCACCTGCTCCTCCCAACACTCACAGCCCACAGTCTTTGGAGTGCTGAGTGTAAGAAAACCTTCCTGGGCTGGGCGGTGGTGGCACACGCCTTTAATCCCAGCACTCTGGAGGCAGAGGCAGGTGGATCTCTGTGAGTTCAAGGCCAGCCGGGTCTATAGAGAGAGTTCCTGGACAGCCAGGGCTGTTACACAGAGAAACCCTGTCTTGAGGTCAGAGCCTTGGGAAGTTCTCAAGAAGCCCCTTGCAAGGCCAACTCGGATCGCTTACACTTCTCTCCAGTACACACTGCTCCACTACCTCCAGCTGAGACTTCCAGAACAAGACAGATGGGATTTAAACAGAAACGACCCACGCAGGAGAAATCAGTTCAGGACCTCTGGCTTGTTGAACCCCTCCATTCCAGTATGGGGAACCCCTTGGTGCGGTGGTGCCTGGTGGACAACCTACCCACTCGAGACCGAGCACCTCAGTGACCTAAGTCACCCCCATGGGGAATAAGCGTATTCCTCCCCCTCCCCCCACCCCCGCAACCAGGCTCTTCTTCACTCACCCCCTCCCAGGCCTGGGAGCAGGGCTAGGCAGACAGATGGGAGGGTAGCCATGCTGCCTGTATATGGACACAGAAAGAAAGCCCGTAGCTGCCTGGCATCCTTACAGTGTCCTTTTACGCTCCCTGCCACACAAATATGAGGTGGCCCAGAACCCCGAAGGTTTGATTTAGAGGACACTTATCCTGCTCTCGGAAAGATGAAGTCCAGGACCAGCTTGGGCTACATAGGGATGGATGGATGGATGAATGAATGGATGGATGGACAGACAGACAGATAGTATTTGGTTTTGGTTTTTCAAGAAAGGATTTGTCTGTGTAGCCCTGACTGACCTGGAACTCTATCTGTAGACCAGCCTGGCCTCAAACTCAGAGCCCTGCCTCCCTCTGCCTCACTATGATGATGAATATTTCTGTTTTTATACAACTGATGAAATAGACCATGATCTCTGAGACTTTATTTATTTATTTTTCTATTTATTCATTTTCAAAACAGGGTTTTTCTGTGTAGCCCTGGCTGTCCTGGATCTTGCTCTGTAGACCAGGCTGGCCTTGAACTCAGAGATTTGCCTCCTCTGCCTCCCAAGCGCTGGGATTAAAGGTGTGGACCGGCTGACGGTTCTTTAGAACATGCTTTTACTTTATAAGCCCATAAAGCCCCAAAGCCACTGACCCTGACACCCCAGACTGCTGTGGTTTGCAAAGCCTCCTGTTTATTATATTAATAGCCCTCCCTATTATCCCAGAGCGTGGGTCATAAGGAATGACCTCAGCGTTGCATGCAGTCTCTGAGTCTGCCACCCTCTAGCAGAGCACATCCCTGGACAATGACAGCTTTCGGGCCACCCTGATCTGTGCCTGGCACCGCTGAGATTCGTGGACATGCTGTAGTACTTGAGACCCAGAGCCCAGCTCTGGTGAGTTCCTTCGCTAACATCCTAAAAGCCTGTGTCCATCACAGGTCCGGAACCCAGCGGAGAATTGCTCCCACAGATGGTCATCTCAGCCTGGTGGGATGAGAAACGGCAAAGCCATTTGTTCAAACAAGGACAAGATAGCGGCCAGGCGAGCAGGCATGGTGCAGGGTTGCCATCCCAGTGCGGACTCAGCTTCCCAATGAGCCAAAGCCTTCTGTGTGTGCCCCAAGGAGTTCCTCCAGCCGATACTGAGAGGCTCAGACAGGATCGTTCTCAAGGGGTCTGCATCCGCCTGAGAAAGGGATGTGAATGGCAGATCCAAGAGTCTGCTTCCTGCCTCCTCCG